ATATCAACTGTTCAGAGGGGACTGTGTGAATCAGGCCTTCATGGTCGAATTGCTGAAAAGAAACCACTACTAAAGGACACCAATAAGAAGAAGAGACCTGCTTGGGCCAAGAAACACGAGAAATGGACATTAGACCGGTGGAAATTTGTCCTTTGGTCTGGAGTCCAATTTTGAGATTTTTGGTTTCAACCATCGTGTCTTTGTGATACGCGGTGTGGGTGAACGGATGATCTCCGCATGTGTAGTTCCCACCATTAAAGCATGGAGGAGGAGGTGTTATGGTGTGGGGGTGATTTACTGGTGACACTGTCTTTGATTTATTTAGATTTTAAGGCACACTTAACCAGCATGGCTACCACAGTGGGACTGTCATTTGTTTTTCAACAGGCAATGACCCAACACACCTCCAGGCTGTGTAAGGGCTATTGTACCAATAAGGAGAGTGATGGAGTGCTGCATCAGATGACCTGGCCTCCACAATCCCCCGACCTCAACCCAATTGAGATGGTTTGGGATGAGTAGGACGGCAGAGTGAAGGAAAAACAGCCAACAAGTGCTCAGCATATGTGGGAACTCCTTCAAGACTGTTGGAAAAGCATTCCAGGTGAAGCTGGTTGAGAGAATGCCAAGAGTGTGCAAGTCTGTCATCAAGACAAAGGGTGGCTATTTGAAGAATCTCTCATTATAAAATATATTTTGATTTGTTGAACACTTTTTTAGTTACTACATTATTCCATATGTGTTATTTCATAGTTTTGATGTCTTCACTATTATTCTACAATGTAAATATAAAGAGAAACCCTTGAATTAGTAGGTGTGTCCAAACTTCTGGTAGTATGTGTGTGTGTGTGTATGTATATGTGTGTATGTGTATATATATATATATATATATATATATATATATATATATATATATATATATATATATATATATATATATATATATATATATATATATATATATATATATATATATATATATATACAGTGGGGGAAAAAAGTATTTAGTCAGCCACCAATTGTGCAAGTTCTCCCACTTAAAAAGATGAGAGAGGCCCGTAATTTTCATCATAGGTACACGTCAACTATGACAGACAAATTGAGAAATTTAATTAATGATTTAATTTTGATCCCCTGCTGATTTTGTAAGTTTGCCCACTGACAAAGACATGATCAGTCTATAATTTTAATTGTACGTTTATTTGAACAGTGAGAGACAGAATAACAACAAAAAATCCAGAAAAACGCATGTCAAAAATGTTATAAATTGATTTGCATTATAATGAGGGAAATAAGTATTTGACCCCCTCTCAATCAGAAAGATTTCTGGCTCCCAGGTGTCTTTTATACAGGTAACGAGCTGAGATTAGGAGCACACTCTTAAAGGGAGTGCTCCTAATCTCAGCTTGTTACCTGTATAAAAGACACCTGTCCACAGAAGCAATCAATCAGATTCCAAACTCTCCACCATGGCCAAGACCAAAGAGCTCTCCAAGGATGTCAGGGACAAGATTGTAGACCTACACAAGGCTGGAATGGGCTACAAGACCATTGCCAAGCAGCTTGGTGAGAAGGTGACAGCAGTTGGTGCAATTATTCGCAAATGGAAGAAACACAAAATAACTGTCAATCTCCCTCGGCCTGGGGCTCCATGCAAGATCTCACCTCGTGGAGTTGCAATGATCATGAGAACAGTGAGGAATCAACCCAGAACTACACGGGAGGATCTTGTCAATGATATCAAGGCAGCTGGGACCATAGTCACCAAGAAAACAATTGGTAACACACTACGCCGTGAAACACTGAAATGCTGCAGCGCCCGCAAGGTCCCCCTGCTCAAGAAAGCACATATACATGCCCGTCTGAAGTTTGCCAATGAACATCTGAATGATTCAGAGGAGAACTGGGTGAAAGTGTTGTGGTCAGATGAGACAAAAATCGAGCTCTTTGGCATCAACTCAACTCACAGTGTTTGGAGGAGGAGGAATGCTGCCTATGACCCCAAGAACACCATCCCCACCGTCAAACATGGAGGTGGAAACATGATGCTTTGGGGGTGTTTTTCTGCTAAGGGGACAGGACAACTTCACCACATCAAAGGGATGATGGAAGGGGCCATGTACCGTCAAATCTTGGGTGAGAACCTCCTTCCCTCAGCCAGGGCATTGAAAATGGGTCGTGGATGGGTATTCCAGCATGACAATGACCCAAAACACACGGCCAAGGCAACAAAGGAGTGGCTCAAGAAGAGCACATTAAGGTCCTGGCGTGGCCTAGCCAGTCTCCAGACCTTAATCCCATAGAAAATATTGGTTGCCAAACGTCAGGCTCGAAACCTTAATGACTTGGAGAAGATCTGCAAAGAGGAGTGGGACAAAATCCCTCCTGAGATATGTGCAAACCTGGTGGCCAACTACAAGAAACATCTGACCTCTGTGATTGCTAACAAGGTTTTTGCCACCAAGTACTAAGTCATGTTTTGCAGAGGGGTCAAATACTTATTTCCCAATTCATAACATTTTTGACATGCGTTTTTCTGGATTTTTTTGTTGTTATGCTGTCTCTCACTGTTCAAATAAACCTACCATTAAAATTATAGACTGATCATGTTTTTGTCAGTGGGCAAACGTACAAAATCAGCAGGGGATCAAATACTTTTTTCCCTCACTGTATATATGTGTGTATGTGTATGTGTTTTCCTTTATTACTTTCTAACCCTACCACCCCTCCCCTAATTGGTGTAAATTAGTGAACAACAATGCTTTGGCCTCTACTTCCAGCGTATACATACTATATACATTTTATGGACACAGTCTATTTTACAATAGTTCTATTTTGTTTGTTTTTACTCCTGTCCTTCCTCTACCCTCAACCTCTCCCATCTATTTCTGATGTCCATCCGGTTTTATTTCTATTTGCCATATCTTTCAAACTGTGACCTTTAACAAAAGTTCTTAACCTATAACCTATATACGTTTTACGGACACAGTATGTTTTACATTAGTTATCTTGTTGTTATTAGTCCCAACCTTCAGCTCCATTCAACCCCTCCCATCTATCTCTTAACACCATCCATATTGGATTTATATTTGCCATATATTTTTCAACTGTGCTGTGATGTTTCACAAAAGTTCTAACCTTTCTATTCTCATTGTTTTTACAGATTGTAATTTGAAAATAAACATTTTTGCTAAAAGTATTATTATATTATTGATCGATTCACTATGACTTTTCAGATCACCCAGTAGTGCTATCTGCAGGGTTAGCTCCAGGTAAATATTGCAATTCTTCAGCCATTCCTGGACCTGTGACCAAAAACAAGCAACATATGGACAGTACCAAAACAAATGATCTAATGATTGTCTCTTCACAGCAAAATCTGCAAAGCTGGGATGGTTGTATCCCCCATATAAATAACATTCTATTGGTTGCAAGAATTTTGTATAATAATTTAAATTGAAAAATTCTAAGTTTTGAATCCGGCGTCGTTTTGCGTATCAGTTCATAAACCATGTGCCATGGAATCGGTACGTCAAAAAAAATCTATATGGCACGGCTTTCAATATTTTGGTCCTTAAATGAAACTGGTATACTTTATTTATCACAATTTTCTTTAACCAGTTATGGTCTTTAATGCAGGGCCGACAGACAAGTTCCTTAATTTTTCCCCCTTCCACTTTCCTCTTCCAATTTTTCGGTAATGCTGCAGTTAGTTGGTTGTAATTTTGGGTAGAGCAGACATTTCCATATGTTTTTGTTAGCTACATGTGCGACAACTCCACCAGTCCTACCTATGATATAATTTACCCAGATTATACTTTTTTTTGTATTATTATTTAAAAAATACTGTTTTTGATCAATTATTATATTTGAGTTTAACTACGATATTTGTTGTATTATTTGTTCTGTTGTTTCTGGTGAATGAAATTGAAATTGCAACTAACTTTGTTTTAGAAATAGTGATATTTTAGAGATTTCCTTTTCAAATAACTGAAAGTGAGAGGTTGTAATCTGAATAAAGGGAAAATTGGCATTCTTGAATATAGGGTGAGACATTCTTACTAATTTGCTAGAGAACCCGTTCGGATTTAAGTATAACTTTTGTATGACTGAAAACTTTAGTGTGAGGTCTAATGCTTCAATATGTAATAATTTCTGCCCTCTGAATTCATATTTATTATATAAATAGGCCCTTTTAATTTTGTCTGGCTTGCCGTTCCAAATAAAATTGAATATTTTTTTCTCATAATATTTTAAACGAAATGTTCACTATGTGTAGGCAAGACCATTGTCACACCCTGGCTCTGGGACTCTATATGTTGAGCCAGGGTGTGTGCATTCTATGTGTTCATTTTCTATGTTGGGTGTTCTAGGTTGTCTATGTCTATGTTTGCATGTGTGACTCCCAATCAGAGGCAACGAGTGTCAGCTGTCGGCTGGTTGTCTCTGATTGGGAGCCATATTTAAACTGTGTGTTTTCTCTTGGGTGTTGTGGGTTTTTGTTCCTTGTCAGTCATTGTCACTGTGGACTTCACGAATAGTTATTTGTTTTGTTGTTTCGTGGTTCGCTTTAATTAAATAAAGCATCATGTTCGTGCAACACGCTGCGCTTTGGTCTACTCCTTTCCAAGACGATCGTGACAACCATAAGCAAATAGGTAAACTGGGATATTACTAAAGAGTTAATCAGGGTGATTTTTCCACAAATTGACAGGTATTTACCTTCCCATGGTAGCAAGATCTTATCTATTTTTTTAAAACTTTCTATTGACATTTATTGGAGTGAGATCATTTATTTATTTCGGTATATGTATACCCGGTGTATATTAAGTGCAAGTATATACCAGATGGCCATCCACACAGTATGAGTTTGATGTTTTCAAGATTATGGATGGGGAGTTTATCAAAAGCTGCGGTTGACTGTTCAATATGTGGCTCTTGGAGTAATTGATTTCTCTCCCCGTCTCATTTCTTACCTAAGCATCTTGGTTAGACTTTTTTTCCCAGAATCGTTGCCCTGATGCTGATATCTGTGTGTGTTTGTCTTCTAGGAGCAGGAAGCTGTGCAGCGCATGCAGACCAGAGCTCTGGAGAGAAACATGAGGAGGTTGAACCAATGAGAGGCCTTTTTTGGTCTGGGCAGGACTTTTGGTAACCGAAGGCTCTATTTTTAACCTTCCTCTTTTTAATTTCCTCGCTGATCACCTTGAGCAGAGCAAGGCAGTGTCTCTTCATAAGCGGCAGACAAAAGTATTTGTTCAAGTCATTTCTTCGAACTCACTCTCCTCTTCCTGTGGCAGACCAGCATGGCCAAATAGGTACATAAGGCCAGGGTCACAATCCAGCTAACGCACTCTTTCCTTTATAAACTCTGGTATCAACTATTTATTCTGCATGTTTGTGTTACATGTATAGTGATTTTAAGAAGTGTACCTTCCCTCTTCTGGCTGGAACAGCAGGGAGATAACCACTTCCTGATGTTATATTTGCTGAATGTGCCTGGTTCTTACCCTCATCTCCAGAATCACTGATAAAGTATATTCACGGAGCAGTGGTGCCAAGACATCAACACTGGACTGCCTAATCTGCAGGTGCCTATACGTCTGTTGTCCTATCACTGGACTGCCTTTTACCCAGGGCACTGGCCCAAACTGTCCAGTCATGCTCTTCAAAAGGAAGTTGTGCCTGTTTGCTCTGTTTGGTGGGATTATCTTTGTCATGATCGCCACCCATACCATTCAGAAGAACAACATCCTGTCTATGACTTTGATGGAGACCCATGCCACCTCCATGACTGTGCAAGGGCCCGCTGTTAACCGAACATGGGCTCTACCGAGTGCCGCGGTGCCCAGCCCGGACAGGATATGTGGGTGTCCGTCCTGCATAGCGGACATGGAGGTCTCGGAGTGGTTCGCGCAGCACTATGAACCCCAGCAGCAGCCCTTTCTCACAGACGGAGACAACAACATGGACCCCCTGGCACTGAAGTGGTGGCTGGTAAGACGTTTACTATTGACGAGATGGGCCAAATAGTGTGGCTATATACTGTATGTGGCCAAAAACTGTCAGTTTATTGTTAAAGGTGTGGTATTATACAGCAAAGATTCTACGACAAATGAAGAAGAAGAAAAAATACTAAGGAATCTGTCACTTTCCCAAATATGTCTGTCTGTACATTAATATTAGTACATCAGTACAATGTAATACATTTTATTACTATTTATGGGTCACTCGGTCGTTGCCATTGTTATCAACGTTCTACAGACGCCGCAGCCATATTGATGCACGAACGTAGAACAGGGGCTAATGACTTTAAACCAGGGCTAATGACTTTCATCTAAATTACATTATAGGGGCTTAGGAATACGATGGCATTGCTAAAGTATGCACATATTTAGTAGGAAACAACTTTACCAGCATCATCATGTTGTCAAATTTACTTTAGACAGATGGCAATGTTGTCATTAGCTAGCAAAGTTAATCAAAAATATGTTAGCTAGCTAAAATCTGGAGTTCTCCCCTCAATCTTAGGTAGCTAGCTAACGTTATACTGCAACTAAAGTCAATCTGGTGATGTCAAAATGATGACAAAAGGTTTTCCTACTAATTATTTGCCTTCTTTAGAAATGTCATTGTGTTTTCAAGCCACAGTAATGCACTTTAGACCTAATCTTCATCAGCGCCCAATGAGGATGCATTGAGTAGAAAGGTCAGTTTGGCATCAGTCCTAAAACGAACGTTCTAAACAAAATTGTGACGCAACGTGCAATCATGAATACAGTGCCACGAAAAAGCATTTGCCTCTTTTCTGATTTTCTCTATTTTCTCTATTTTTATAATAATAAATAATAATAATAATATGCCATTTAGCAGACGCTTTTATCCAAAGCGACTTACAGTCATGCGTGCATACATTTTTTTTGTGTATGGGTGGTCCCGGGGATCGAACCCACTACCTTGGCGTTACAAGCGCCGTGCTCTACCAGCTGAGCTACAGAGGACCAGAGGATTTTTGATTTTTGACACTGAATGTTCAACCAAAACCTAATATTAGATAAAGGGAACCCGAGTGAACAAATAAAACAATACTTATTTCATTTATTTAATAAACAAAGTTATGCAACACCCAAGGCCCCTGTGTGAAAATGTAATTACACTCAACTGGTTGTACCACCTTTAGCTGCAATGACTGCAACCAAACGCTTCCTGTAGTTGTTGATCAGTCTCGCACATCTCTGTGGATGAAATTGGTGGTGGTAGTGTGATGGTTTGGAGATGCCTTGCTGCCTCAGGACCTGGACGACTTGCCATCATTGAAGGAACCATGAATTCTGCTCCGTATCAAATAATTTTACAGGAGAATGTCAGGCAATCAGTCCATGAGCTGAAGCGCAGCTGGGTCATGCAGCAAGACAATGATCCAAAACACACAAGCAAGTCTACATCAGAATGTCTTAAAAGCAACACATCTTAAGTTTTGGAATGGACTAGTCAAAGTCCAGATCTAAACTTGATTGAGATGTTGTGGCAGGATCTGAAACGAGCTGTTCATGCTCGAAAACCCACAAATGTCGCTGAGTTAAAGCAGTTCTGCATGGAACAGTGGGCTAAATGTCTTCCACAGCGATGTGAGCGACTGATCAACAACTACAGGAAGCGTTTGGTTACAGTCATTACAGCTAAAGGTGGTACAACCAGTTATTGAGTGTGAGGGGGCTATAGAGACCCACAAAACCTAGCGGTCAAACAGGGAAATGGTTCCAATCATTTTTCCACCATTCAACTGTTTCGGACAAGGTGACTTATCAATATATTCGGCTCTAATAAGCATCAGACTACAAATCCCTGCAAGCTGCTGCACGTCATCTTTGCTAACAGGTATTGTGTCAATTTAAAACTTGCACAAGACAGTTCACAGAATTGTGAATTTAAAGAAATGTAGCCAATTTATTCATTACAAAATGCAGCTAACATTAGATAGTTAATCCAGAGATTCTTCCCTTTGCCTCGATTCGGCAGTCTCGTCCAGATCATCATGGCATTGGTAGTTCTTTATGATAGCCACATTAGCATTTCAATTTTTTTTTTTTTTTTTTGGGGGGGGGGGGGGGTAAATATAGATTTAAACGGCTATCAAAACATCACGCCAGGGTAAGCCTACACGAAACACAGCCCTTATTTTAAGTGTTTCTAAAATCCCCTAAGTGAAAAATGAATGGTGGAAAAAATTGATTTCCTTGTTTGACTGCTAGGTTTTATGGGTATTATGACACATACTGTGGTAGTAGATCTGATTTACATTCAGTGTAAAAAAAATAAAATATGCAAAAATAGAGAATCTGAAAGGGGGCATACTGTTTTATTGCAATGTACGTCCTGTTCACCACCATTCAATAATCAGTCATTTGAAAAGAAATCAAGGCATATGGCCAGCTAAAATTAAGGATTTGCTGACATGCATGTGAAATGTGTGTATTCCTAGATATACTATTCCTAGGAGGGACTTAGTAGTCCTACTCTTGTCTCTCAAGCATGCTGCAAATATCAACGTTTGAAGTCCAATTTTTATTCCGTGGCAAACGGAGTACATCTGGAAAAGACAGCCTCTGTGGTGCACAGCGAAAACTAAATGTTCTCTTTTTATTACCATTCTGTGGCCAAATGTCATTAAAACCTACTGCGGTGGATTCCATGCACTGTAATCGTCAGGGTGACTACTTTCCATAAGAAACTCCCTGAAGGGACTGAACAAAGAAAGGAGAACTCGGCCTCCTTAAGCCATTCTCCAGTCTGAGCATGTTTGAATACGTTTGATTTAAAGATAATTTGAGGCATTCAAGGTTTCGAAAGCAACACTAAGATAAACTTGGCATTGTGATGGCTTCCGTGGCACTGAAAATCAGTAGTCAGGACATACAAACACTGTGTTTCCATCGTCGGTCTGCTAAGAATGCCCTACCAAAACACAGTGAAAGGGGACATTTAACTCATGGCCTCCAATGTAACACGAGGCTCCCTCTGGAGGCTGGTGATTCCCTGAGTACCGAAATATTAAAGGCCCCTTGTATATATTGCTCAGTTTTTTGTTTGTTGGGAGCCAAAGGTGAGCGCAGGCATTAGTCCTGTGAGATATCATTGTCACTCCACATCTAAAGTGAATTTTAAACATCCCCATCAGGCTTTGCAGCGGTCCACCGATGAGCGGACGATATATGAGGTGATCCAGAAGATGTTCCAGGTCATCGCTCCCCCTGCCATGGATGTCCAACCCAAACAAGCTCAGTGCAGGAAGTGTGCAGTGGTGGGGAACTCAGGAAACCTGCTGGGCTCTCAATACGGCTCCTTGATAGACTCGCATAACAGTGTCATAAGGTATGACCCAACTAGTGTTTTCACGATACCAGAATTTTGACTTCTATACCGATACCAGGTTTAGTATCACGATACTAGATACCATCACAATACTCGATACCACGGCAAAAAAATGAAGGCATATTAGCCAAAGTCACAGAATGGCTCTTGAGCCAGACAGATAAACTCTGCTACTGCTCTGTTCAAACGTTGGACATGTTTTGAGTTCAATATCATTACATTCAAAAAGATGTACGTCAACATTTTTCAGAGACAGCCATGTATGTATGCATTAATTAATCATTTATTCAATCATACAATTAATTTGACTTTGTTTTTACCAATCTAACTACATAACAACATAATGGTAATCATTTATTTGAATGGTAAATCTCTTGATAAACAGGGTAAATCAAGATGTAGCCTAGGCCTATCCACAATACAGGGGAATGCATATTCAATAGGAGTGTGCATGCATTGAGTTATTGAGCTTATTTTGGCTGATTTCATGGGGGTACAGATGACAAGCAATCTGTTTCCATTCCATTTGGGACTTAATTTATTGTACTGATCAACAACATTTGCATAGAAGTAGCTTATTTTGTAAAAGTGTATGCTGTCTCTTTAACCAGTAAAGACATCATTCATGAGGCAATAGGGGGGCTGCCCATCAGAGCCCTACACAGTTTCAGTTGGCTGAGGCAATAGATACTATTTTGGAGAGACGTTAGAGACCGATTTAAGTGAATGAATAAAGTTTTGGTAGCAACCAGCTTTGAAATCAACATTTTGCGTTATGGTTTGCACACAAAGTATTAGGGTAGTGAATTGATGTTACAATAGCTTCAGCTGTAAGCTAGCAAGAAAAGTTGGCCTACAAAGTTACCAGTATCTTGCATTGTTAAGTGTTCAAGCCTTTATGGACATTGTTTTGCAAACAGTAGTTAACAGTTTTAACATGCCGTGTCGCATTATTGAAGTGTGTTAACTTCTGTTCAGTATGAGTGGGAAGCTAACATGATACAGCCCAGACTCCCATTGCAGGCTAAGTGAAGCAGGCTAGGTGTGCATGCGGTATAAGGGGGACATCTGCTGTGCTGTAGACAGACTTGATCCGTGAGATATATTTGACAGAGGTACCTAAAGTAACACAAATTCTAGTACCAAACTGTTTTTCATGTTCTAGTATCGAAAAAGCACAGAAGTTTCGGGAAATACTGTGCAACACTAGACCCAACACAGACAACACAACCAATCAAACAGTCAAAACAACCATTAAATGGCCTTATCTACTTCTATGTAAATACATAGTCCAAACAAGTATGATTATCACATCATGGCCATTACCACTGTAAAATGGCCTTAACACCAACATAGTCTAAAAAGTGAGAGGAGGCATTACACAACCCCATCACTGCTATGATCCAAACAACCCACAACCATTCACCTTGGCAGGATTAGGCAATGCTGAGCCTGAGGAACCAGTGACCAGACTTCAGTTCCAGACACTCATCGAACCACCTGACCCAATTACCGTATCCCCTGAAACTAGTGAGGCATGCCAAATGAGCTCAATTAAGACTATACTTAGTTAACTATTGGTTAAATCAGGTGGTTGACTGACTGTCTGGAATGAATGCACACATACACTGGAGCCCAGTAGCTGCAGGGTTACCATGTTAAATCTAATTCGGTGTCTGACCTGCCTGTGTACTGAAACAATGTATTCTCTTTGCTGTAAAGGATGAATAAAGCCACCACAGCAGGGTTTGAGGCCGACGTGGGCAACAGAACGACGCACCACTTCATGTACCCGGAGAGTGCAGTGGACATCGCCCCTGGGGTCCACCTCGTCCTGCTGCCCTTTAAACTCCGCGATCTACAGTGGGTGGCCAGCGCCCTTTCGACGGGAGAGATCAAAACGTAGGTCCACTCTTCACCAATCCTAAGCTTTTCACTGTCACTCCCCAACATACAGTACAACTACTGACCACAACCACACAATACGGACCATAATTACTGACCACAAACACACCACTACTGACCACACATCTACTGACCATAACTAACGACCACAACAACACAACTACAGACCTGTCAAAGCACTCAGCTGACTAATGCATGGTATGGGTCTGACTGACTACAATAGATGGTGTAATTCATTGTTGACCTGTTTTTGATGTGACTGTTGTCTTTGACTATACATTTACATTTAGCAGATGCTCTTATCCAGAGCAGCTTACAGTTAGTGCATTCATCTTAAGATAGTTAGGTGGGACAACCACATATCACAGTCATATTAAGTACATTTTTCCTCAATAAGGTACCTATCAGCAAAGTCAGCTAGTAAGAGTCAAGTGCGAGTGTTGTGGGGGATTAATCGCTGTGGGATTATTTAAGATACTCTTTGAAGAGGTAGGGTTTCGGATGTTTTTGGAAGATGGGCAGGGACTCTGCTATTCTAGCTTCAGGGTGAAGCTGGTTCAACCATTGGGGTACCAAGACGGAGAAGAGCTTGGACTGGGTGCTGCCCTCCCATAGGGGTGGGAGGGCCAAGAGACCAGAGGTGGCAGAACGGAGTACTCATTTTACATTTACATTTTACGTTATTTAGCAGACGCTCTTATCCAGAGCGACTTACAGTTAGTGAGTGCATACAGTATTGTTACTTTTTATTTTTTATTATTATATATATTTTTTCATACCCCCCCGTGGGAATCGAACCCACAACCCTGGCGTTGCAAACGCCATGCTCTACCAACTGAGCTACATCCCCTGCCGGCCATTCCCTCCCCTACCCTAGACGACACTGGGCCAATTGTGCGCCGCCCCATGGGTCTCCCGGTCGCGGCCGGCTACGACAGAGCCTGGATTCGAACCAGGATCTCTAGTGGCACAGCTAGCACTGCGATGCAGTGCCTTAGACCACTGCGCCACTCGGGAGACGGGTTGGGGTGTAGGGTTTAAGCAGAGCCTGAATGTAGGGAGGGGCAGTTCTTGCTGCTCCGTAGCATGGTCTTTTATTCTATATTTAGAATGTTCCTGTTTTTATCGTGACAATGTTTTGCCTCTTGGCTGTCATAATAAATGAGAACTGGATCTAAACTGACCCACCTGGTTTAATAAAGGTAAAATAAAATAGTTGTTTTTCCCTGCATGTTTCTTCAGGACATACATGAGGGTGAAAGGTCGAGTACAGGCTGACAAGGACAAGGTGAGGCTTATCACGGTGGACGAAACTATTGAATTAATGTTGATGCGTTTTGTGAGTTAAAGCTAATCACCCTCTCGTTTGTAGGTTATAGTGGTGAATCCAGCATTCTTTAAGTACACCCACGACCGGTGGACAGAGCGCCATGGCAGATACCCATCCACGGGCATGCTGGCCGTTATATTTGCCCTTCACATCTGCGATGAGGTGAGTATCCTTTGACATCAATAGGGTTTTTCCATAGCAGCATCAGTGTGTCGCCAGTGATTATGTTAATGTTAGCTCTAATGTAATTTTGGGGAACTATGTTTCCATAACTGGGGCTGACACTGAGGACTTGTGAAGAGCAGAATCAACAACCTCTGCATAATCAACACAGTTGCTTTATGAGATGGTGTTAACCATGGAAGGTGATTAGCTCCTCTGGTCTAAAAAAATATATCCCAATGCCCCAGGGCAGTGATTGGGGACATTGCCCTGTGTAAGGTGCCGTCTTTCGGATGGGACGTTAAACGGCTGTCCTGACTCTCTGTGGTCATAAAAATCCCATGGCACTTATCATAAGAGTAGGGGTGTTAACCCAGGTGTCCTGGCTAAATTCCCAATCTGGCCCTCATACCATCATGGTCACCTAATCATCCCCAGCTTCCAATTGGCTCATTCATCCCCCCTCCTCTCCCCTGTAACTATTCCCCAGGTCGTTGCTGTAAATGAGAATGTGTTCTCGGTCAACTTACATGGGAAAATAATGGTAAAATAAATAAATAAAATGTTATGTAAATGCAAGCTGAAAAGTATATTTGGCCTCTCCTAGGCCCCAAGTCAGAACAGGTACACTGAGGCCATAGCCCAGTGAATCACTGGAGCCCGGGCCATGGAGGTGGAAACGGTCTGATTTTTGGGGGGTAAATCCTCATTGGAAATTGACTTATCTTTAGTATCAGAAGCCTGGCTGAAAGTAAACAGAATGCTAATAACACTAGTAATGCTTAACATTGCCGTCCTTCTCCAGGTGTCTGTGTTTGGCTATGGAGCTGACCAACAGGGGAACTGGCACCACTACTGGGAGGACAACAAGTACGCCGGCGCGTTTAGGAAAACTGGGGTGCACAATGCCGATTTTGAGACAGAGGTTATCCAAAAGCTGGACACGGAGGGCAAAATTAAACTGCACAAGAGATGAGTATGAGCAGGGGCGGTGTGTACAGGACGAAGCCATTAGTATTGGGTGTTGTGGTCAGAGACCGTCAAAGAGGGACATAAAACCTGTGATGCGCCCTGGTCTCTGAAACTAGCACTGTGAGATAGACATACAACCAAAACCACAAGCTGAAGAACTTGAATCATGTCATTTGAGCATGCACTGCATGTCAACAGCATAATAAATGGCTTTTCAGCCTTTTAAACAGGGATGGAAAACCTCCACACGTTTTAGACAGATCATGACAAGAAATGAACATAGAAAGTACGTGTCGGCATGCTGCACCAAACTAGCCTTATACTGAAGAACCCTTCAAGAACCTGAGAGCCTTTGACTGAAGGGGTAAACCACAGAATCCACATTAAGGACAGAAGCCCTGTGTTGCAAGGGTATAAAAACCACATCTGCATGTATTTTACTTCTTTGTGAGGATGGAAAACGGCACGATTTGAGTCAAATTAATTCAAGCATTTCTACTGCAATGGAACTATAAGGATTGGTTTAATGTCTCTGTAGAGACAGTTTTGAGCTGCCATAGTAGTCAATTAAACCATATTAATGTATAGCTTTCACACCCAATTATGTTACCCGTTATTATGTTGCGCTAAACTTGATCTAATAACGTGTTTTAGACTATGGACATTTCACGTTGTTCCCAAGAATACAATATTGAGCTATGTAAGGAGGGAACACAGGATGTGGTCATAAATAGTCTGCTTAATGTTGCACCATGATACCACATTCTTGTTTGAGGGTGTGCGGGGCGGGCTAGCCAGACGTCTTCGATTCATTTCTAAATATAATTAATGCTTTAATAAGAGAGATTCCAGTGATGTGCCTTCTGAGCCAGTTTAACTGAGTTTTGCTAACTTTTTTTATATGGATGTATGAACCTTTCGCTAGTGTCAATCAAAGACTGAGTCCCACTGTTATTAGAGAGTTTGATCTATGACCACTGATAGACAGTTATGTGACCCGATGAGTAAAAACAAACACCTTCAATTAAAACCAGAAACAATCAATACAGAGGTTATGCAACTTTAATATCATCATTAACTAAACAGTTAATGTTTGTTCAGAGCCGGCTCCTATTTTAAATAAAATCTCAAAACCATTTAGGATTATTAAAATACAAGTAAATTGGTACCCAATACAATACTTTTAATAAAACATCAGAAACCATACATTTGTATTTATGGTTTATTGGGCTCCCGAGTGGAGCAGCGGTCTAAGGCACTGCATCTCAGTGCTTGAGGCGTCACTACAGACCCCCTGGTTCGATTCCAGGCTGTATCACAACCGGCCGTGATTGGGAGTCCCATAGGGCGGCGCACAATTGGCCCAGCATCGTCCGGGTTTGGCCGGTGTAGGCCGTCATTGTAAATAAGAATTTGTTCTTAACTGACTTGCCTAGTTAAATAAAGGTAAAATAAAAAAATAAAAAATGTATGAGTACGTGTGTGTGATTGACTATGATCAAGCTGTGGTGTCTTAAAAAAATTAATTAATAAAAGCATAATGAACAATCACCACACCGCCTCCCTTTTTAATTCTGAAACGGATTGAATCCTGGCCTAAGTTATTATAACATGTGAAATGCTTGTGTATGTAAATACAGTGACCCCTTTGACTGGCAGTGTAATTTGATGCAATATCTTTGGGCAAAACTTGACTTGTTACAAAGGCTGTTCCAGGCAACAGTATGTGCAACAACCACAGACATTGTTCTTAATGCAAAACATTAAGCAGGTTGCCTTACAGAACATGTCCCTCCTCTTTTGGCTTGTGTCAGTAAGACAACACATGGACGAAAGATGAAGGGAACAGGCCTTTCTTGTTTGGCTGGCCCTCAACGTATCCATGCTGTGGGGACAAAATAACAAAATATCGATGGGTTACACAAAAAAGCTACCATAGACCCATCCACACCCACTTTGTATGTTGTTTGTTAGTTCAGTTGGTCTGTTTTTGTGACTGCAATTACCTCTCCAGGGAGATTCCATTGGAAAACCAGATGGCCAATTGAGAATCCAGAGGAGGAGGAAGTGGTTTCTGCTATAACCCCCCTATGTTGGGTTTCTGGCGTAGTTATATCACATTATATCTTGTACAAAAGGGAATCTTTAGGTTGGACTAGGCACGCAATACTTGTCTGTCCATCTTTCTTTTCATTGTTTTCATTGTTTCCCCTGGCTCTGTAATGGGGCATGTTGACTAGTTAACCCTGGGATTAGTTAACCGCACGGCAAGCGGTACCGGAGTGCCAAGTCTGGGACCAAAAGGCACCTGAACAGCTTCTACCCCCAAGCCAAAAGACTGCTGAACAGTTAATCAAAGGGCTGCCCGGAAAATCCAGAAAAACGCATGTCAAAAATGTTATAAATTGATTTGCATTTTAATGAGGGAAATAAGTATTTTATGCACTGTAGTGCTAGCTATGCTTTCAGTACTAGATTCATTCTCTGATCCTCTGATTCGGTGGACGTCATTTCATGCTGCAAGAGCTCTGATAGGTTGGAGGACGTCCTCCGGAAGTCGTCATAATTAGACAAGTCTATGGAAGGGGGTGAGAACCATGAGCCTCCTCGGGTTTGTATTGAAGTCAATGTACCCAGAGGAGGACGGAAAATACTGTAGCTGTCCTCCGGCTACACTATGGTGCTACCCCAGAGAGTGCTGTTGAGGCTACTGTAGACCTTCATTGCAAAACAGTGTGTTTTACTCAGTTATTTGGTGACGTGAATACATTTAGTATAGTTTTATCTAAAAAGGATAACTTTTTTAAATGTTTCACTAATTCACTGAGTAGGATGGTCCTCCCCTTCCTCCTCTGAGGAGCCTCCACTGGCTCACACACACTCACACAGATTCACTTTCACACTTCACATATGCTGCTGCTACTCTGTTTGTTCTATATCCTGATTGTCTAGTCACTTTTACCCCTACCCACATAATGTATTACCTCAATTACCTCGTACCCCTGCACATTTACTTGGTACTGGTACTCCTTGTATATAGCCTTGTTATTGTTTTTATTGTGTTACTATTTCCTTTAGCAAATATTTGTCTAACTTTCTAACTCTGCACTGTTGGGAATGGGCTCGTAAGTTTGCATTTCACTGTAAAGTCTACACCTGTTGTATTCGCCACATGTGGCCAATACATTATTATTTGATTATTTAAACAACAGAAACAGAAGAGCAGACCCAATCCTGTGGCTATACACAGAATGTATGAGTGAATGGGAGTAAGAAGTCCATTCATAAACATTTATCACTAATAGTTTACCCCTCCAATGGTAAAGGTCAGTGCCAATTGCAAGCAGCTGAGTTAATTGTAGCACCTTTTGTTCACTATTAAATCAATTTAGCCGTTGCCCAAAGACTTTGAAACCTACACAGTGAAGAAGGCACACCACCGAAACGGATTTGTGGAGTGTAATCTGATGCTAGATCTGTGTCTTAGGACAACTTCTACCTGTAACTGAGATATACATATATATACTGAGATATACATATATATATCCAGGCTCTGTCGTAGCCGGCCGCGACCGGGAGACCCATGGGGCGGCGCGCACAATTGGCCCAGCGTCGTCCAGGGTAGGGGAGGGATTTGGCCGGCAGGGGATGTAGCTCAGTTTGCAACGCCAGGGTTGTGGGTTCGATAAAATAATGTATGCACTAACTGTAAGTCGCTCTGGATAAGAGCGTCTGCTAAATGACGTAAATGTAAGTCCTGCACTACTGTATCTGTCCTGGGACATTTAAACTTTACGAGCTGTCCTGGGATATTTAAACTTTACAGGCATCCTCAGGGTTGTGGGTTCGATTCCCACGGGGGGCCAGTATGAAAAATGTATGCACTCACTATCTGTAAGTCGCTCTGGACAAGAGCGTCTGCTAAATGACTAAAATGTAAAAATGTAATATACCTTCCCACCAATCAGCATCGTCCTCCTCCAGCACAACCATTATCTCGCCCTCGTTGAAGGTGAGCTCATCATGGTGGTCAGCCACACAGTCGTAGATGGCTTGGACCCGCCTCACTTTTGGCTTGGGCTGGAGAGAGAAACACCACAGCACTATTGAGTGAAAAACATTGCACCAGTAAGGAAAGAAAAACATTACATCATCCCTAAAGGTGACCAAGCCAAACCAGTGCTTAACCAAAATAACATATTTGCTCTGAGGGGGAAAACCCCCATATCATTGAAGAAAAATAGGTGTATGCCCAACAGTAATGAGCCAGGGAAAATGTCAAAATACATATTTGGCTGTCAATCAGAGTAACTAAAGATCTCAAACTGAGGATAAGGCGAACTAATCCTGCTGTGGTGACTAAGACTTGGAGTTGCCAACTATTTGCCGCCTCTAAAATGAGCCTTTTTATCCCAGCAGATGGAGCTATTGCCAATTTGAAGTATCCAAGAGTAGCCTGTCCCAAAAAAACAGGCCTTTGGATGTAAAAACAACTACACTATATATACAAAAGTATGTGGACACCCCTTCAAATTAGTGGATTCGGCTATTTCAGCCACACCCGTTGCTGACAGGTGTATAAAATTGAGCACACAGCCATGCAATCTCCATAGACAAACATTGGCAGTAGAATGGCCTTACTGAAGAGCTCAGTAACATTCAACGTGGCACCGTCAATAGGATGCCACCTTTCCAACAAGTCAGTTCGTCACATTTCTGCCCTGCTAGAGCTGTAGTAGCAACAAATAAACATCATCTGTCCTCGGTTGCAACACTCACTACTGAGTTCCGAACTGCCTGTGGAAGCAACATTGGCAGAATAACTGTTCGTCGGGAGCTTCATGAAATGGGTTTCCATGGCCGAGCAGCCACACACAAGCCTAAGATCACCATGCGCAATGCCAAGCGTCGGCTGGAGTGGTGTAAAGCTCACCGCCATTGGACTCTGGAGCAGTGGAAACGCGTTCTCTGGAGTGATGAATCACGCATCACCATCTGGCAGTCCGACGGACAAATCTGGGTTTGGCGGACGCCAGGAGAACGCTACCTGCCTCAATGCATTGTGCCAACTGTAAAGTTTGGTGAAGGAGGAATAATGGTCTGGGTCTGTTTTTCATGGTTTGGGCTAGGCCCCTTATTTCCAGTGAAGGGAAATCTTAAACTACAGCATACAATGACATTCTAGACAATTCTGTGCTTGCAACTTTGTGTCAACAGTTTGGGGAAGGCCCTTTCCTGTTTCAGCATGACAATGCCCCCGTGCACAAAGCGAGGTCCATACAGGATGGTTTGTCGAGATCGGTGTGGAAGAACTTGACTGGCACAGAGCCCTGACCTCAACCCCATCAAACACCTTTGGGATGAATTGGAACGCTGACTGCGAGCCAGGCCTAATCACCCAACATCAGTGCCTGACCTCACTAATGCTCTTGTTGCTGAATGGAAGCAAGTCCCCGCAGCAATGTTCCAACATCTAGTGGAAAGCCTTCCCAGAAGAGTGGAGGCTGTTATAGCAGCGAAGGGGGGACCAATTCCATATTAATGCCCATGATTTTGGAATGAGATGTTCCAAAATGGACTTCTGGTCATGTAGTGTATATACAGTAATACTAAAACTGAAATATAGCCTGCTATGCCTTGGCCTCTATTAAATTGAACTACCAAACATATCGAACAATAGATTATGAAAATACACTACTTTGAGGGGAAGAATTACTGTGAACAGAAAATCGGTATATTCTGAGGAAATGTGCCCCCCTGCCAACTCTCACCAGCGCTCTCCTGGGCAGAGGGTGCGGGGGGTTGCCATAGTGGGAAGAGGCCCTATTGGACTCCAGGATGAAGGTGTGAGGAGATGTGGGGAAGTTTAGGGGAGGGTGTCTGCTGCTGGGCTGATGCATCTGATAGACAAAGTGGGACGAGTTGCTTGCTCCATCTGCGCGGAATCCTGGGGGACACAAAGGGGGGAGAAAGCAATAAAGGCAAAACAAAAAACAAAACAAAAAAAGCTATAAAGTCTGAAGTAAATGTGGTTGAATTCTACAGTATCTAGACTGCATACTATGGAGGAGGATCATTTGTGGTTTTACTTCAAGAAGGTGTTTTTCCACTTCAAGAAAGAGGTGTGCTTTCACGTGTGATACAATTGTGAGTAAAATAGATTACATCTGTAAAACATAGACAGCATAGTTTACCTCTCTCTGGCAGTTCAGATAGGGAGTTGAGGGCAGTGACAGAGTATTTTGGAGACCCTGAGCTGAAATAGACGGTGCAAGACAATGGGCTAGATTCAATCCGGACCGTGGAAGATCCACATTATAGCGCAATTGAAATGTAAAGGTAATTTCTGATTGAGCTGACATATGCAGCGTTTACGGTGAATGCAGTCTCTGCGAACATGGGAACATTGCCTTTAAATTTCAATTGCTCTATAGCGCAGAACTTTTGAATCGATCCGGATTGAATCTAGGCCAATATAGAGTTGGCACAGTGTTATGACAGAATACATTGATTTATCGGGTGATAGTACTACATATCAGATCTAGTGATTGAAACATCACTGCCGGGTCATGTATTGTAATACCCATAATTCATATAATATTAATTGGAAACTCCCTTCAAAACCAATTTCAGGTAGTTGATCCTTTAACCAAACGAGGTCAGTCTTACTAAGTATACCGAAATGAATTTGTCATAGAAGAAATACCTAAATGAAGTTGGCATACTCACACACACTTCTGAAAGATGACTCTGGACCACCATAGACTCTTGAATTTGATGGTACCCCATAATCTACACAGACGATTAACAGGTCACAGTCAACACTAAGTCAGAGACCACCGTTCGGTCCCCACAGATCCCTGCCCCAGAGATACAAAACAAACTGAGGTCAATGGACATGTTGCTGCCTAAAACAAAATATTTCAAGACTATTTCCAGTGAGTGCAGGCTTTTTACCAATTATCATGTGCAAATAAACTGCTTCTATCATTCAGAAGTGGGCATACTGTTTACACAAGATGGAAGCTGCTACTATGATGTGACATATCTGCATGGCTCTGTTGGGAGGAATGGTGGCTTTAGGGCATCTAAAGGGTGGGCTCTGAGTCCAGGCTGCATGTGTGAGAGCTGGGAATGGCGTATACCTCCCGCTTGTGATCGCGGACCAGGGCCAGCCTGTGACCAACACTGAAGAGTCCATCTCCTCATCGGTCCAGGGTGGGAGGAGCTGGTACAGACTGAAGGGCCGAGAGGATTGGTCCTTCTTCACTGGGCCCGTCTAAAGAGAGTCACAAACAAACACACTCTCTATACTCAGCAGTCATAGCAAACGGTCATAATAGACTGTTACAAACAATCTATTGCTGATCAACAAACACCTCCAAATCAGGATCGCAGCAGACAACATAGAGTTGTGAAAGACTGGGTTGTGTTGATTAGTAGGGCATGCAACAGATTATTTTTTTAAAAAAGTGTTTCTTATTGGACAAGTCCAAATAGTTCCTCCCTGTTTAGTCTGTTTTCTTCCATTTGGAGCCTAATGAACACGAGCGAGATGTAGCATAATGTTGCTGACCTTGTTGTCCAGGTAGTCGTCACTCTCTTACAGATCATACTGATGCAGCCACCACTCGTACTCCACGTGCATGTTGAACTGGTTACTCTGGGACTGGTTGATCTGGTACACAACATCCGACAGGAGAATTTCAGTACGTCAATCATCATATAGAAACACAGCCACTGCATACTATATATCAAATTGGTGATAGCATGAACTGGGACTGAAACCTTCACCGCTTCTACACTGAGCACTATTCATTTTTTGTATATGCTATGGAAATCTATTTATCAATACAAAGTAAATCTGCTTAGTTTGGTGACAAGGAGGTGCTGCCGGCTATGAATGACAAGTGAATTGGTTTAGTTAATTACTTTAAGTGCCCAGTCCTAGAACAGTGTAGCTGTGAGAGAATGAAAGCCAGCTGTAGTCAAGTTTTCCTTTTGGTCAACAAAAGTATCTTATTTTCGAATTGGAGGGCTGCACCTTCGTCATCTTCTTTCGAGCGCAATCAACAATGGCAGATTTCTTAGGCAAGCATCCAGCCCCACTGGTTGCGGATACAGGTGCCAAAAAATGAGAAGTTTAGCCAAGAGACTAAATGATAAGGCTCGGGGAAAAACCAGAGTAAATATAGGTAACAATTTGAATCGCTGGAGAGAAGTTATGTCCCTAAAAGGGCTGAAGTCTGATGCAGAGATGGCCTGTTTTCTACTTGACAGGTAACGTTAACAAGACGTTGCGCCAGCAGTAGCTAGCTGAATGGAGAATGGAGAACCCAGGTTAGCTTTATGCTATCTAAATTATATGGCTGTCTTGATAAATAACTAAGGTGTACATGGTATTTACAATCTAAAACCAGTCAGGATACTAACAAAAGTATGTGTGTTTGAGAGTCATGATCATTTAGAACCTACTTACACCCATGGGGCGGCGCACAATTGGCCCAGTGTCATCCAGGGTAGGGGAGGGAATGGCCGGCAGGGATGTAGCTCAGTTGGTAGAGCATGGCGTTTGCAACGCCAGGGTTGTGGGTTCGATTCCCACTGGGGGCCAGAATGAAAAAAAAAAATATATATATATATATTAATAATAATGTATGCACTAACTGTAAGTCGCTCTGGATAAGAACATCTGCTAAATGACTAAACTGTAAAATTTTGCATTGCTGTTTTTTATTTTTGGGGGCTAGCTAACGTTTCATGTGCATTTCTCTGTTTGAGAGTGATAGAACTGTAATGGTGCTCGGCTGTAACGTTAGCAGCTGTAATGGTGCTCGGCAGTATAGTTGCCTCGCCTTTCTGAGACTTCCAAGTAGCGAATGTTATTACAGAACATTAATGGTAGTTAACGCACTTTTGTACATCGCGCTGTTCCGTACATTTGACCCCAAAAACGTAATACTTCCAGGTCAACTGTAATCTGAATACCATTGTAAAGCACAATTTCTCCCCCTTCCAACAGTCCATGATGAGACCTTCATGCTGCCCGTCTCTGCTAGATTGAAGAAAGCAATGGAGCTCCGCAGGGTCTTTTTAAAAATGGCGGGTGGGGAAGGGAAAGCTACTGCGTCATAGTGAAAGGGGGAGATATGTCGTGTGAGGAATCGGCTTTTTTCACCCGATTTGTCCAACTTATCACCTCTAAAATGTAAATAAAACACTATAGAGTTTTATAGAATGTCTCATTACATACCTATTTTAAGGTTTGTGCCGAATTTGAATAGGGTTTTAGGGCGGCGCTAAATTAAAAATTAAACTGTGGTTTTTGAGAGTCATGAGGGCTCGCAATGATTAGGGTAAAAATTAACAATTTATTGAATTAACTATTGATGAACTCTCAAGTAATTAACTTAACCCTCACCATTGATCATTTCTTGTTTTTAATCTGCGAGAGAAGCGCTACACCTGGTGGAAAGAGGCTGTACTGCACAGATTACATTTGCTCAAGCATTCTTACATGTGGGTAGAGTTAAAGTGACTATGCATAAATAATTAACAGAGTAGCAGCAGCGTCAAAAGATGGGGTGGGGGTGCAAATAGTCTGGGTAGCCATGATTAGCTGTTCAGGAGTCTTATGGCTTGGGGGTAGAAGCTGTTGAGAAGCCTTTTGGACCTAGACTTGGCGCTCCGGTACCGCTTGCCGTGCGGTAGCAGAGAGAACAGTCTATGACTAGGGTGGCTGGAGTCTTTCACAATTTTGAGGGCCTTCCTCTGACACCGCCTGGTATAGAGGTCCTGGATGGCAGGAAGCTTGGCCCCAGTGATGTACTGGGCCGTACGCACTACCCTCTGTAGTGCGAATGGACCCGCCAGGCTACTGTGCAGAGTATTGCACCTACACTACATTGGAAAATGATTCCAGAGACGACATCTCCGTAGTGAACATTGACAAGAGGGAGACCCAGAGAAACTCTGTCATCATGGAGAAGGTGTTCATTAGGACCATGGATCAGCTGATTACGGAGATCCCGCTAAAATAAATCTGTACAGATGCACATGTTCAGATTTCTGCTCTGAGTAAGTTTGGTTATGACCATGCAGATCTAAAATGTTTATTTTGCAAGATTGAATCGTTTTAGAAATACACAGTACCAGTCAAAAGTTTAGACGCACCCACTCATTCAAGGGTTTTTCTTAATTTTTACTATTTTCTACATTGTAGAATAATAGTGAAGACATCAAAACTATTAAATAACACATATGGAATCATGTAGTAACCAAAAAAGTGTCAAACAAATACAATTATATTTTATATTTTGAAATTCTTCAAAAAGCCACCCTTTGCCTTGATGACAGCTTTGCACACTCTTGGCATTCTCTCAACCAGATTCATGAGGTAGTCACCTGGAATGCATTTAAATTAACAGGTGTGCCTTCTTAAAAGTACGTTTGTGGAATTTGTTTTCCTCCTTAATGTGTTTGAGCCAATCAGTTGTGTTGTGACAAGATAGGGGGGTGGTATCCCAAAAGATAGCCCTATTTAGACCAAGTCCATATTATGGCACGAACAGCTCAAATACGCAAAGAGAAACGACAGTCCATTATTACTTTAAGACATGAAGGTTAGTCAATCCGGAAAGTTTAAAGAACTTTGAACGTTTCTTCAAGTGCAGTTGCAAAAACCATCAAGCGCTATGATGAAACTGGCTCTCATGAGGACCGCCACAGGAAAGGATGACCCAGAGTTACCTCTGCTGCAGAGGATAAGTTCATTAGAGTTAACTGCACCTCAGATTGCAGCCCAAATAAATGCTTCACAGAGTTCAAGTAACAGACACATCTCAACATCAACTGTTCAGAGGAGACTGCATGAATCAGGCCTTCATTTTATATATATATTATTTTTTTTGTTGCAAAGAAAACACTACTAAGAGATTTGCTTGGGCCAAGAAACATGTGCAATGGACACTAGACTGGTGGAAATATGTATTTTGGTCTGATGAGTCCAAATGTGAGATTTTTGGTTCCAACTGCCATGTTTTTTGAGACGCAGAGTAGGTGAGCGGATGATCTCCGTATGTGTGGTTCCCACCGTGAAGCATGGAGGAGGAGGTGTGATGTTGTGGGGGTGCTTTGCTGGTGACACTGTGATTTATTTAGAATTCAAGGCACACCTAACCAGCATGGCTACCACAGCATTCTGCAGCGATACGCGATCCCATCTGGTTTGCGCTTAGTGGGACATTGTCAAGACTGTTGGAAAAGCATTCCAGGTGAAACTGGTTGAGAGAATGACATACGAGGAGTTTATTGTAAGTCATATTTATCTTGTCTTATTCATTACTCTCATTTACAGTGGGGAAAAAAAGTACTTAGTCAGCCACCAATTGTGCAAGTTCTCCCACTTAAAAAGATGAGAGAGGCCTGTAATTTTCATAAAGAAAAAAAAAAAAAAATTGGTCATTTAGCAGACGCTGTTATCCAGAGCGACTTACAGGAGCAATTAGGGTTAAGTGCCTTGCTCAAGGGCACATCGACAGATTTTTCACCTAGTCGGCTCAGGGATTAGAACCAGCGACCTTTCGGTTACTGGCACAACGCTCTTAACCAATAAGCTACCTGCCGCCATCATAGGTACACTACCTACCTTCATCATAGGTACACGTCAACTATGAAAGACAAATTGAGGAAAAAATTCCAGAAAATCACATTGTAGGATTTTTAATGAATTTATTTGCAAATTATGGTGGAAAATAAGTATTTGGTCACCTACAAACAAGCAAGATTTCTGGCTCTCACAGACCTATAACTTCTTCTTTAAGAGGCTCCTCTGTCCTCCACTCGTTACCTGTATTAATGGCACCTGTTTGAACTTGTTATCAGTATAAAATACACCTGTCCACAACCTCAAACAGTCACACTCCAAACTCCACTATGGCCAAGACCAAAGAGCTGTCAAAGGACACAAGAAACAAAATTGTAGACCTGCACCAGGCTTGGAAGACTGAATCTGCAATAGGTAAGCAGCTTGGTTTGAAGAAATCAACTGTGGGAGCAATTATTAGGAAATGGAAGACATACAAGACCACTGATAATCTCCCTCGATCTGGGGCTCCACGCAAGATCTCACCCCGTGGGGTCAAAATGATAACAAGAACGGTGAGCAAAAATTCCAGAACCACACGGGGGGACCTAGTGAATGACCTGCAGAGAGCTGGGACCAAAGTAACAAAGCCTACCATCAGTGACACACTACGCCGCCAGGGACTCAAATCCTGCAGTGCCAGACGTATCCCCCTGCTTAAGCCAGTACATGTCCAGGCCCGTCTGAAGTTTGCTAGAGTGCATTTGGATGATCCAGAAGAGGATTGGGAGACTGTCATATGGTCAGATGAAACCAAAATATAACTTTTTGGTAAAAACTTAACTCGTCGTGTTTGGAGGACAAAGAATGCTGAGTTGCATCCAAAGAACACCATACCTACTGTGAAGCATGGGGGTGGAAACATCATGCTTTGGGGCTGTTTTTCTGCAAAGGGACCAGGACGACTGATCCGTGTAAAGGAAAAAATGAATGGGGCCATGTATTGTGAGATTTTGAGTGAAAACCTCCTTCCATCAGCAAGGGCATTGAAGATGAATCATGGCTGGGTCTTTCAGCATGACAATGATCCCAAACACACCGCCCGGGCAACGAAGGAGTGGCTTCGTAAGAAGCATTTCAAGGTCCTGGAGTGGCCTAGCCAGTCTCCAGATCTCAACCCCATAGAAAATCTTTGGAGGGAGTTGAAAGTCTGTGTTGCCCAGCGACAGCCCCAAAACATCACTGCTCTAGAGGAGATCTGCATGGAGGAATGGGCCAAAATACCAGCAACAGTGTGTGAAAACCTTGTGAAGACTTACAGAAAACGTTTGACCTGTGTCATTGCCAACAAAGGGTATATAACAAAGTATTGAGAAACTTTTGTTATTGACCAAATACTTATTTTCCACCATAATTTGCAAATAAATTCATTAAAAATCCTACAATGTGATTTTCTGGAAAGAAATTTAAGTGGGAGAACTTGCACAATTGGTGGCTGACTAAATACTTTTTTTCCCCAACTGTACGTGTTATGTTTGAGTGATTATGTACTGTGCTTAGCTGTGAGCTAGCACTCGTCCCTGAGTTGCTGAAATCACATCTGCAATAGGCAAAGTGGATAATGAAACAGATTTTTGAAAGAATTCATGCATTGCGATTGTATGTTTCAGGACCTGTGGAGAGGTGTTATTCACCATGTGGTGAATGAACACACATGGACACTGGGACATTGTGAACATTACTGCCTGGGGGACAACCACACCAAGGAATGGATCAGCAGGTCATTCACTAGGTCCCCCCGTGTGGTTCTGGGATTTTTGCTCACCGTTCTTGTGATCATTTTGACCCCACGGGGTGAGATCTTGCGTGGAGCCCCAGATCGAGGGAGATTATCAGTGGTCTTGTATGTCTTCCATTTCCTATTAATTGCTCCCACAGTTGATTTCTTCAAACCAAGCTGCTTACCTATTGCAGATTCAGTCTTCCAAGCCTGGTGCAGGTCTACAATTTTGTTTCTGGTGTCCTTTGACAGCTCTTTGGTCTTGGCCATAGTGGAGTTTGGAGTGTGACTGTTTGAGGTTGTGGACAGGTGTCTTTTATACTGATAACAAGTTCAAACAGGTGCCATTAATACAGGTAACGAGTGGAGGACAGAGGAGCCTCTTAAAGAAGAAGTTATAGGTCTGTGAGAGCCAGAAATCTTGCTTGTTTGTAGGTGACCAAATACTTATTTTCCACCATAATTTGCAAATAAATTCATTAAAAATCCTACAATGTGATTTTCTGGAATTTTTTTCCTCAATTTGTCTGTCATAGTTGACGTGTACCTATGATGAAAATTACAGGCCTCTCTCATCTTTTTAAGTGGGAGACCTTGCACAATTGGTGGCTGACTAAATACTTTTTTCCCCACTGTACATTAACTTTTCAACTATTCAAGAAAAAATACTTTATTTTTGATAAATACAGTGGGGAGAACAAGTATTTGATACACTGCTGATTTTGCAGGTTTTCCTACTTACAAAGCATGTAGAGGTCTGTAATTTTTATCATAGGTACACTTCAACTGTGAGAGACGGAATCTAAAACAAAAATCCAGAAAATCACATTGTATGATTTTTAAATAATTAATTTGCATTTTATTGCATGACATAAGTATTTGATACATCAGAAAAGCAGAACTTAATATTTGGTACAGAAACCTTTGTTTGCAATTACAGAGATCATACGTTTCCTGTAGGTCTTGACCAGGTTTGCACACACTGCAGCAGGGATTTTGGCCCAATCCTCCATACAGACCTTCTCCAGATCCTTCAGGTTTCGGGGCTGTCGCTGGGCAATATGGACTTTCAGCTCCCTCCAAAGATTATCTATTGGGTTCAGGTCTGGAGACTGGCTAGGCCACTCCAGGACCTTGAGATGCTTCTTACGGAGCCACTCCTTAGTTGCCCTGGCTGTGTGTGTCGGGTCGTTGTCATGCTGGAAGACCCAGCCACGACCCATCTTTAATGCTCTTACTGAGGGAAGGAGGTTGTTGGCCAAGATCTCACGATACATGGCCCCATCCATCCTCCCCTCAATACGGTGCAGTCGTCCTGTCCCCTTTGCAGAAAAGCATCCCCAAAGAATGATGTTTCCACCTCCATGCTTCATGGTTGGGATGGTGTTCTTGGGGTTGTACTCATCCTTCTTCTTCCTCCAAACACGGCGAGTGGAGTTTAGACCAAAAAGCTCTATTTTTGTCTCATCAGACCACATGACCTTCTCCCATTCCTCCTCTGGATCATCCAGATGGTCATTGGCAAACTTCAGACGGGCCTGGACATGCGCTGGCTTGAGTAGGGGGACCTTGCGTGCGCTGCAGGATTTTAATCCATGACGGCGTAGTGTGTTACTAATGGTTTTCTTTGAGACTGTGGTCCCAGCTCTCTTCAGGTCATTGACCAGGTCCTGCCATGTAGTTCTGGGCTGATCCCTCACCTTCCTCATGATCATTGATGCCCCACTAGGTGAGATCTTGCATGGAGCCCCAGACCTAGGGTGATTGACCGTCATCTTTAACTTCTTCAATTTTCTAATAATTGCACCAACAGTTGTTGCCTTCTCACCAAGCTGCTTGCCTATTGTCCTGTAGCCCATCCCAGCCTTGTGCAGGTCTACAATTTTATCCCGGATGTCCTTACACAGCTCTCTGGTCTTGGCCATTGTGGAGAGGGTGGAGTCTGTTTGATTGAGTGTGTGGACAGGTGTCTTTTTATACAGGTAATGAGTTCAAACAGGTGCAGTTAATACAGGTAATGAGTGGAGAACAGGAGGGCTTCTTAAAGAAAAACTAACAGGTCTGTGAGAGCCGGAATTCTTACTGGTTGGTAGGTGATCAAATACTTATGTTATGCAATAAAATGCAAATGAATTACTTAAAAATCATACAATGTGTTTTTCTGGATTTCTGTTTTAGATTCCGTCTCTCACAGTTGAAGTGTACCTATGATAAAAATGACAGACCTCTACATGCTTTGTAAGTAGGAAAACCTGCAAAATCGGCAGTGTATCAAATACTTGTTCTCCCCACTGTATATAGGCATTTCCAACATAATACAAACCTATGTGACAGCCATTCTATCACGTCGGAGAGCAACATGCTTCTCCTCATCCTAATTTCTGTCTCTCTGCTGCCTGCCTCTGCCTTTCTCCTCTGCTGCCTGTCTCCTCTGCCCCTGGCTCTGCCTGTCTCCTCTAGCCCTGCCTCTTGCCCTGCTAGTCGGACTGCCATCATCAACATTGTCTAACGCAACCTGTGCAAACAATGAATGTGTAAGGTTCTGTATTTATTTTCTTGGTTCACCTTGTGTTCTTGAACGTAGACCTGTTTCTTTGTGTTCTTGAACGTAGCCCTGTCTTTCATTTTTCTTCATTGATTTCACCTGTGTTAGTTACCAGGGGCGGTGTGTTCAATAGGGCGATATGGGCGACGCACTGCCAAACGGGAAAAGGAAGGGATTTTTTTTCTAATCAATTATATCACGGCAACAGTAGTTATCAGTGTTGTAATCTAGACGTCTGATCTGCCACAGTGCCACACTGCCACTAAATGTCCAATCAGGCTAAAGTCGTGCTTCAAATGTCCCCGCCCGTTTTGGGGCGATTTCAGTCAGGTTGAAAATCGCCCAGAAGTCTGTCATAGACTCCCATGTAAAATCTATTTTTTTCAAATTTCAGAGCTTTCAATACAATCTCTATGGGTTTCTGAGGGCTTGCACTTACGCGCTTTCGTCATACGTAACGTAACCATGAACGTAACTAAGAAAAGAGCGGGTAGCAGCGTCTCTGTTGCGACCTGCAGTGTGTGTGACGTTTGGTGTGGCGTTATCTTATGTTTTTAATCTTATGTTTTTAATTTGTACACTTAGTGGCGTTATTTTATGTTTTTTATTTGTACACTTAGTTTACAAACATTCTGCCAACCATGGATTTCCAGTGGTGGGGTCACGGTGTTGGACTGATCTTGTTGATCGTGTACATACCCGCTACGAACGGACTAAATAATGAAAACGCTGCTGGCAGCGGAATCCAATACAGCAGGGAGTTTTTACTACAATGCAACTCAAATACGAACGCGATGGATATCCCAATGGCCCATCTAATACCTGATTGTCTGCGAGTGGATTACAAACCCAAATGCAAACGTGGAAAACGCGGGGGAATCAGACAACGACTTAAAAAAAATTAAGAACAAACTTCCCTTACCCACCACCTTGCTGATTAATGCCCAGTCACTGAGGGGGAAAGCGGATGAGTTGTCAGCGAATCTGCGCTTCCAACACGAATATCGGGAGGCCTGTTTGCTGGCATTTACTGAGACTTGGCTGGATGACAGAGTCCCGGACAGAGAAGTGGAGCCGGCCGGCTTCACCCTGGTCAGAGCGGACCGCGATCTGACAGTCACAGGGAAACTTCACGGCGGGGGCGTCTGTCAGGGACCAGTGGTGTAAATCGATCCTGGTAAGAGAGCGACTCTGTACCCCCGACATTGAACTGCTTTCTGTGTCACTGCGACCTTACTATCTGCCCCGTGAGTTCCCCCAATTGTTTGTTACCGTTGTGTACATTCAACCAAAAGCTAATATAACAAAGGCATCAGAGATTATTTATAATCTGTCACAGAAACTGGAATCCATCTCCCCCGACGCACCCAAATTTATTTTAGGGGATTTTAACAACTGTACCTTGCACAAAGTCTTGCGCACATACCATCAGTATGTGAAATGTCACACTAGGAAAAATAGGACTCTTGATTTGTGCTATGGGACAATACCAAAGGCGTTCTCTGCCACCACCAGACCTCCGGCCAATTTACTGTCGCCTCCTGGAGAGGGAGAAACCCACAGTTAAAACTGTCCAGATCTGGAATGACAACAGTATCACTTGGGGTGTTTTGACTGTACAATGTGGGAGGTATTTGAGGACAGCAGCTCTGATCTGGATGAACTCACAGAGGTTATTTCAGACTATGTAAACTTCTGTGTTGAGTCAGTTGTGCCTACTAAGACCTGTAAAATCTTCCCTAACAACAAGCCTTGGGTATCAAAACATCTAAAATCACTACTTGATAGGAAGAAGGCAGTTTATGCTGGGGGTGATAGACAGGCTTTAAGAGATGTACAACGTGAGATAAAAAGACAGATACTGGTGGACAAGTTTTGCGGAGTGTTTGAGTTAGCTTTGCGAGGCAAAGATGAAACTGAGGGCTCCACCAACCCTGGTAAGCCAACACTTTTGAGATCAGTCAATAAATGCTTCTGGTATTGACTTATATGCTGCCCCTGTCTTCATGTTGTTGCTGGACATATCTTTTTTAAAATGTGTGTAGGTCACCTAAATCATCAGAAAAATTGCCCCCCCTGAGAATTTTTTCAGGAGCCGCCACTGTTAGTTACTCACCTGGTCTCATCAGCTCCTTATTTAGTTCAGTTCTTTCTGTTTGTGCCTTGTGAGGTATTGTTCGTTTTGACTCTACTAAGCCTTTTCCTAGCTCGTTTGTGAGAACCAGTTATACCCTTCAGTCCTAGTTGATTCACCTGCCTGTTTGCCTACCTGTGTATGACCATTGCCTGCCTGTGACCACGTTTCCTGCCTTCTGCGAAGGCGTAAATAAAACCTGCCACGCTCTGCGCATGAATCTACACCTTTTTCTCCCTGAGTGTTCATTACAGAATGACGTTAGCTAGGTGTTAGATGTCCTGCTATGTGAAATACTTTCTGGCTATTACAAAACAACGTTGAAACTATTGCAGCTAGCTGTAGCTGCAATTGTGTCTAACTAGCTTTGGTTTAGCAAACGTTAGCAAGGGAACCGACAGAACACATCACGGAAACTTGACAAATTGCACAACGTTGCCATATGGTATTACAATACAGATACTTTTTGGAGTTTAACGTTATTTCTCACATCTTGTTGAGAAATGGGGTGGGGGTGGGAAGTGGGGAGAGTTGTTTGAAAACTAACTGTTGAAATACGCCAAGCTTCCACGACGTGGGAGAAAAATTGGGATTTCTCCTTTAAGGTTAGGTTTCAGATTTAAAGACTTTGTGGCTGTGCCAGCTAGTGACCACTTTGCAGAGCTGCCTCCAGAACAAGATTCATAACGAAAAACGCTAACCTGCACGGTGGTAGATACTATATATGTATACGATATCCCCCCAGTCAGCTCAGAGATTTAAACCGGCAACCCTACGGTTACCAGCCGCATATCTACAGTTGGTACTTTGTCAAGGAGGGTCGGTCACGTGTGTTTGCGAGCGGAGGATCACTAGCTCGAGCCCGGTATGCGACAGGGACAGTGTTAGCAGCACACGTCTTTCTTTTTCCCAACGCAGTTAAGCCAAAACCACGCCCCGTTATTCCGAGGGGCGTTCTACAACGCTTTGAGCGCTCTCCAAGTCCGGAAGTGAATATCACGTAGCGCAAAATTTCAGTCACTGATTAATAACATTTGCCCTTGTATTTCAAGATTGAGAACATTTCAGTCACTGATTAATAACATTTGCCTAAATCCTTAATACATACATATTTTTTCTATGCCAGTGGCTAACAACTCCCCTTGAGCATTTTGCATTTTTATTGAGACAGTAGGAACTTCAAGGGGAACATAAATTTACCTCACGTGCTTTATTCACTTTGGGTGAGAACTATTTGCATACACTGAGTCAGACAACTTGTGATGTCTAATTTCTGATGACCTTTTCCTTTTAGCATGTGAACAGTATGGGTGCTCAGAGCCACTGTTCTGGCCTTTTGGTCATCCAGTCGTGAGACGCCGTTTAGTACCAGCCTTGGTGGAACGACGGGCAACAGCTGTAGGCTGACAGGGAATCATAGGGCCTGGTCATCTGGCAGCTCTTCGGAGTGCTGCTGCGCTATTGGCCGCTGTGCTGATGTGAGACTTCCCAAAGCAATGGATGGCTGACACAAGCCTTGATGGTTTGCCTTTAATTGCATTAAATTGCTTCGCCATTAAGGTCATCTAGCATTCCAGCAACCAGGTCAGTTGGTGATAATTCAGAGCATATGTCTGTAAAATAAATATTTTTTTGTGCAATGTAAAAGTCTAGTAATTCATCCCATTGTTAGGGGACAGACAACTGAAATTACAGAAAATATGTCACTGTCAAAATTATGTCAGTGCTGAATGTGAACTGCTTAGAAGTACAATTCACTTACCCTCATCATTGTCACTGGGCACAGGCTGTTGGTCAGGAGCACACTCTGTTTGTTCCTCCAAGCAGGTGGCCATGTCTGCAAGTGAACATAGAAACTACTAAGATACGACTACTAAGGTACAATGCACAATGAAGGTTGTGTATTTGGATGGTTCAACTGCACTCAATATGGATGACCACCATATACCATTATTTGAAAACGATAACCCAAACAGTCTAAATACTTTTCCTATATTCATTCATGGAGTGCAGAGGTACTGAACATTGATGTTTTAAGCGTTATACCTTTTACTGGTGATCTTGGATCCCCAAGTTGTTGATTGGAATTAGCTGTAGGTAATAGTTAGAATTATGCTGGTAAATGATATGACAATCTATTTTAGTGGTTGTAGTATGTCTGTGAAACCGTGTAAGTACTTGTTGAGTACAGGTATGTAACCTGTGTCTGACTTACCTCTTGGCTGATTTAGCTGACTTTTGTCCCTCAGGGGTTGCAGGAACTCCAGGGAAATGTTAGCTATAACATGTATTCAAAGTACATACAATGAACACTGATGCATGTATTTATGTACATTAACAGTACATTATTTTCATGTTGGGTTTTATAATGTTTTGTTGGCACTGTATTACTTACTGGTGTTATTTTTAAAGAGCTCAGCCCGCATCTCCAGTGTTGTGGGAAGGAAGTTGCTGGAGAAGCATCCAAAGTTCTGCAGCCTGGTGCCCTGTATGGCCTACTGGGCAGGTACACAGCTCCACCTCCATATCAACTGTGTAGACAGTGCCTGGAGTGGTGCCCTTCACACTAAACGTATTCTCTTCAATCTAGGATATTATATAAAAATGTATATAAGAAGATATCAATCAAATTAGGTAAGATATGTATGATAGTAATATGCTTTTATATACCTGGCAGATGTCTGCCCGTTGAAGATTGCTCTCCAAAGCAAGGAATCTAGACTTATGGAAAGCCTCCCAACGTTCAAGTGCCACGTCTGTCACCTTGGCTTCATAGTAGGTCTCCAAGCGGGATGTGAGGAGATCAAACAGCTGCAGCAGGTTGAAGGCTTTGGTCCTCTGGTGGATTTAGTCTTTCAGGACTCTCATGGCAGCTTCCATGTAGTTGTAGGTGTCATTCCCACAGGTAAGCATGTCCTCTCTGAAACCCATGGCCCAACACTCCCTACGACCATAGAGTTTCTCCAGGTAAGCCAGGAATTTGCTGTACCTGCAATTGTTCAATGAACACACATAAAACAACTGACATGTACATGTATTGCCTCACTTAACATGTGTGGGTAAAACAATTCTGTTCTGTGAATACCAGTATTGAAGAGTTTACTTTTGTTACATCATGTGAGGAGGACAATTAAGATCTTGTTCTTGTTATTCTACACTGAAATAACTTTACTCTACACTGACCTGACTGCAACTGGGTTGACAAGGGCCAGATGATGGAGTTGTTTCACCTTGTCTACGTCCCTAGCATAAAGCATGTCCTTGTCAATGCTAAAGAGGGCCTGCCTGTCCGTCATCTCAATGCCATGTTCTTTGCTCCATAGCCACCTCCAGACTGCTTGGAGCAGGTGGAAAAACACAGAGGAGGAGGGTTGCCTCCGTGAAGAGCTAATGCTCCTCTCTCTGCCTCGCAGTCGTCGGATAGAAAAAGACCAGGCCCTGCCTGACCTCTGACCTCTCCCAGCAAATGCATCCTCCGCCAATATCTCCTTCAGGAGCTGAAGGCCCTCAAAAATGGTGGCCTCATCTTCTGACTGGGCGAAGATGATCCCAAGAGGAGGACCACCTGCACATGTGTGCGTCAATAGTAAAAACACTGCAGTTTTCTCTGTCCATGTTTCCGGATGAATCAATGAAACATAGCTCCCCACTGAGCTGATGGACCCGCTTCATAAGGGAGGAGCATATGGCCACGAGAGGAGTTCCACCTGAAGATGTTGCTATCTTAGCAACGGTGTTGCTGCATTTAAGATTGTACTCCTCTATCTACTTCTCTAGTGCTGACATCATGGAAGGCCCACTCGGCTCGCCGTACTCTTTCCTAACGGGCTTTCTGATACAATCTGTGCCAAATACATGGTGAAAATGTCAAATAAACCTTCTACAGAAGCGTATTTTTGTAAATGTTATTTTGGCACTATTCTCCCAAGATTTGCAATCTTACTGCATAGGATTTGAAAATACACTGTTATAGCCACTTTCCTAAACACAGATAATATATGAGATGTATGTGGGTGAGATTAATGTATCTGAAACGTGTGTATCTTGTATGGCTTTAATAATTTTTCTAGGGGGCAGCATTTCTTACACACTGGATCATTCCCTGTGAGTCCACAGCAAAAACTCTTACATTGGTCTCACTCACATATGCATCATATAGTACTGTATCTGTGTAAAAAAAAAAGTTACCACTGTCAATCTGAATTACCTTCAATATGTTTAAGAAAGAGAGAAGATGATGTTGTTGCTGGGAATAAGGCATACGTACCAGTAACAGAACTTCAGGTCTGGACAGGGAGCTTTATTTGCAGAGGCAAATATGTAATTCTCCCCATGTTCCATCTGCAGATCACTTTTTAGCACAGCCAAAGCTGATGAAGGGGAATGCCCAATCTCAAATAGCCTTGACAAGGTCTCTGTGGCTTTGGCCTCAACATCCCGGTGTTTAAGTGCATCAGCCACAAAGAGATTGTGGTTGTGGACATTGGACACACACACCATGGCTGGATACATAGGAAGATGTGGGTCCTTGCTCCTAGAACAAACATTTGATTGTCTTCAGCTAAATCAAAGTTAGAGAATGATTAACCACAATGGGCAGGCTTGTATATGTAAATAAACCATTCACACACCTGCTCAGCCTCCCCTTTCTGGTGACACAACGTATCAGAGTGATACTCATTTTGGATGGACAGCAGTGGGGGATCTACTGTAAATCTTGTGTTGGCACCTGTAACCAGCCGAAACAGAAGGTGTATTGTATTTATTATCTGAATATCTGCATGCCTTACATTTGACGAAATATCATTTTACCCACTTCAATCATTACCTTGAAAATAATTGTATGTCCTTTCCTGGGTCTTGTTACGCTGACCCTCCATGTCACTCCAGTGTCTCTAGTCTTTAGAAGCCACTCTTGTAACTCAACAGAATTCACTCCTAGGCATAGGCTCAATTCAAAAGTTGAGTGGTCTCAATGGGTAGGTCTCTCCACAAGTGAATAAATAAGATTTGTACCCATGGGGTAGCCAACTCTAAATGGGAAAACAATGTAACTTGATGTGTTGTGTGCTATAGTCAGAGCAACTTAAACAATTTTATAGAAATGATTAGCTAATAATAAGCATGTGCTTTTACCTGATAGACTACTTATGATAATATAACAACATTAAATACCAAGGTAGTAATGTTAAGTAGCCTAGGTTAACTTAGCTGACCTTCAATTGAGGGAATTCAGAGTTCTCTGAGACATTTATACAACTCATTGAAACTCTGAAAATAAATTCATGGGCAAATGTTACCAAACATGTTAATAATAGGCCTGCATTACTGTAGGCAGCTAATTGTTAAATTACACTTTCCATCCTTACCTTGGAAGGTCACTGTGTTCATCCATGTCTCTCAACAGGCTGTGAGGCAACAGCTGTCGCAAGCCCTATGAGGCAACAGCTGTCGCGAGCCAACAAACGCTAGCCAATGGGAGCGTAGTAGAACGCCCCTCTGAATAACGGGGAGTGGTTTTGGCTTAACTGCGTTGGGAAAAAGAAAGACGCTAGCAGCACACTGACGTCGGTTACACAGGCATGTCTGATGTCAAGAGATGACCATTAGGGGGAAGCCCTGTTTTTTACAGAGGGACCTCTCACTGATACAGTGGCTTGCGAAAGTATTCACCCCCCTTGGCATTTTTCCTATTTTGTTGCCTTACAACCTGGAATTAAAATGGATTTTTTGGGGGTTTGTATCATTTGATTTACACAACATGCCTACCACTTTGAAGATGCAAAATATTTATGTGAAACAAACAAGAAATAAGACAAAAAAACAGAACTTGAGCGTGCATAACTATTCACCCCCCGTCAATACTTTGTAGAGCCACCTTTTGCAGCAATTATAGCTGCAAGTCTCTTGGGGTATGTCTCTATAAGCTTGGCACATCTAGCCACTGGGATTTTTGCCCATTCTTCAAGGCAAAACTGCTCCAGTTCCTTCAAGTTGGATGGGTTCCGCTGGTGTACAGCAATCTTTAAGTAATACTACAGATTCTCAATTGGATTGAGGTCTGGGCTTTGACTAGGGCATTCCAAGACATTTAAATGTTTCCCCTTAAACCACTCAAGTGTTGCTTTAGCAGTATGCTTAGGGTCATTGTCCTGCTGGAAGGTGAACCTCCGTCCCAGTCTCAAATCTCTTGAAGACTGAAACAGGTTTCCCTCAAGAATTTCCCTATATTTAGCGCCATCCATCATTCCTTCAATTCTGACCAGTTTCCCAGTCCCTGCCGATGAAAAACATCCCCACAGCATGATGCTGCCACCACCATGCTTCACTGTGGGGATGGTGTTCTCGGGGTGATGAGAGGTGTTGGGTTTGCGCCAGACATAGCGTTTTCCTTGATGGCCAAAAAGCTCAATTTTAGTCTCATCTGACCAGAGTACCTTCTTCCATATATTTGGGGAGTCTCCCACATGCCTTTTGGCGAACACCAAATGTGTTTGCTTATTCTTTTCTTTAAGCAATGGCTTTTTTTTGGCCACTCTTCTGTAAAGCCCAGCTCTGTGGAGTGTACGGCTTAAAGTGGTCCTATGGACAGATACTCCAATCTCCGCTGTGGAGCATTGCAGCTCCTGCAGGGTTATCTTTGGTCTCTTTGTTGCTTCTCTGATTAATACCCTCCTTGCCTGGTCTGTGAGTTTTGGTGGGCAGCCCTCTCTTGGCAGGTTTGTTGTGGTGCCATATTCTTTCAATTTTTTTATGATGGATTTAATGGTGCTCCGTGGGATGTTCAAAGTTTCAGATATTTATTTATAACCCAACCCTGATCTATACTTCTCCA